AAGCTCTAGATCGCAAAGGACAGGCTCTTTTTGGACAACCCCAGGTTGATCCAACAACGTATAGAACCCACTCACTCAAGGATCTGTACAAACTTGTACAAGGTACAAAGGTGACAGAGTGGGTACTATAAACTAACATGGGGTAAAACACAATAAGTCAGTAAGCTTCAGTGTTATTCACAGACATAGTCAGACGAGCCCAGGAGAAAAAAAAACAAAAACAAAATTAGTCACTTAAAATGAGGTACAAATTATAAGGGGTATTAAAAATACATTAAAATGTTTTACATAAAGCATAAATTATACAGGGTAGTTAAAACAAGAGAAGAAAATGTGAAAACAATTATACAGAGTGTTAAAACAAAAAGTTAATTTAAGAAATGTATATTATAAGGGGTGGTTAATAAAACCATAGGATAATATATTAAGAGCATAAATATATAAAAGGTGGTTCAAAAATAGAGAAAAAATGTGAAAACAAGTAGGTACCTAGACAAAGTTTTATAACCAAATAAGTTATTTAGGAAATATATACCTAATTGAAATAAATTGTAAAAAATGTTTGGTTAAACCATAAAATATGACAGAGTAGTTTAAAAGAAGTGCAGAAAATCTGCAAACAAGTAAATGTACAAAAATTGATCACTAAAGTCAATATACAGTGTGCTTACAAAAAAGGGGTATAAAAAATAATTCTTTAGTAATATTCATAAATATGATAGAGTGGTGCAAAAAGTGCGGAAAATATGTTTACCATAAGAGGTCTAAATACATGGAGGTCCAAATAACACAACAAACTTTCATTTTTCTTATGATACGACCTAAAGGATGTTCGTATAAACCGTTCTATACTCTTAGTGGTCTGTTGACAATTTGGAATGTTATTGTTGAGTTGACAGGAAAAACGTTTGAAGATTATGGATTTTAATGACTTGTAAAATATTGAAATAAGACGGAGAATAATTGGTAAAACTGATTTAGCAAATAATCTTACTACACCCCTCTTGTAAGTAATAGAGAATATTTTTTAGCCATTTAGAATCTTTTTCTTTTTATGGCATTTTGTTTTTGTTAATTATTGTTGTAAGTATTAACAAAATATATTGATGGCGTATAAAAATTTTTCGCTGTGAAATCCTACTTTTCAGAGGGAAATTAATTTTCACCTGTATGCACAATGCACATGTTTCATGAAAAATGTACGGCATGGCTACAAAGGTCATTATTTTATAAAATGGAATTAAAATCTGTAAATTTGATGTTGGTTTAAATCACCCTCAATATACTACTTTCAAATAGAGAGTTGTACCCTGCATTTCCCACACAGCACACATTATTTCAGAAATGTTTCAGAAATAAATCAAACGTTTCAAACATATAACATTTCAAGCACAAGTTTCTGAAATATTTCTGAAATATTTTAGTTAAATATTTCACTGAAAATGTTTCTGAAACATGGTTTACGTGTTACACAAAAGGTTACTAAACGGGTTATGTTGTAAAAGGCCAACAATTAATGAAGAATTTCCGATTTGTAGGAAGAAGACGGGATATGTAGTTATTTTATTTTATCATGTCCCTGTCCACTACTATAAGCCTACAAGCCTATATTCTAAATAAATATAAATTTCATTTATTGGTTTTTGATATTCAAGCGTTGTGAACTTGTTATATATGGGAAGAAGAATATGTCTTTAGAAATTAAGGTGAGAACTACATAAATAATGCTTGCTTAGGTGGATCTTCATGTTTTGTTTAGATATGAGTATTGTTTTATTATAGTTAATTTAAAACAATATTAATAAAACTATTGTTAATCAAATAATTTGTATAAATCCTTTTTAATTACCTATATTTTGTTTCAGATTAGTGCATTTAAAGAAATTGGTGGAAATGAAGCAATTTGCCAGCTTTGGGGCTGTGCCAGTAAAAATAACATCCAATTTATTCAACGTTTCCCGAATAAAGTATTAAGGAACATCGTCGACGCATCCGGATACTGCCGTAATACTGATTTTCATAGGGACTTTAAAGTGGAGAATGTTGAAAATACAATACAAAAATTTGCCAGTAGTCACCAACAACGACCGCTCCAACATGGAAACCTTGAGATTATCAAGATCCTCAACAATGCCAATCTAATAAGAAGACTCCAGAGAACCAGACCTTTTAAGTTAGTTCAGTTATGTTAGATTAAAACAGAGTATAATATGGTTTAGTGTTATATGTTAACGGTAGTGAGTAGAATCTTAGTTTATGAAGTTTTTTATCCCTAGATAAGTTAGGTAAAAATAAAATTGCTAATTGCTTGGAGCATTTATTAAAAAAAAACGTTGTTCCAAATTAGAGCATTTAAAAGAATTGGTGAAAATGAAGCAATTCACTTCTATATTTTATGAAATATTCTCTAAAACATATTTATTTATTTGCTTGTTTAAGAATCAATGTTTGAGTTTTGTGTATTTCAAATGAACATGTATATTTTTAAATGTCTTTTTTAGTCTAATAATATATTAGAAAAAAAACTAGAATACGTTTCTGAAATATTAATATTTAATATTTCTAAAATATTTCTAATTTTCAGTTCAGAAATATTACTGTGAAATATAATATTTAGAGGACATTTTTACGTTTCAGACAGATTTCAGAAATGTTTCTGGGATGTTTGTAATATTTATGCAATATTGCAAATGTTTCAATATAACATTGTTGAAATATTTCCGAAATGTGTTTGTGCTGTATGGGAGTTTATGAAGGTTTTCATCCCTAGATAAGTTAGGTAAAAATAAAATTGCTAATTGATCTTAATGATTAGATTGTAATAGTCGTAATTGTTTCTTTACTTGGGGCATTTATTAAAAAAAAAACTAGTTGTTTCAGATTAGTACATTTAAAATAATTGGTGGAAATGAAGCAATTCACTTCTATATTTTATGAGACAATGTTTTAAAGTTATTTATTTGTTTGTTTAAGAATCAATGTTTGAGTTTTGTGTATTTTAAATGAACATGTACATTTTTAGTTTAATGTTATTTTAGAAAAAAAAACTAGAATACATTTCTGAAATATTACTATTTAATATTTCTAGAATATTTCAAATTTTCATTTCAGAAATATTACTGTGAAATATTATATTTACAGGTCATTTTTACGTTTCAGGCACATTATAAATGTTTCAATGTAACATTTTTGAAATATTTCCGAAATGTGTTTGTGCTGTATGGGTTTGTAGTCTGTAGAGTGATAACATTTTTGTTGCTTAATAATTATAATGGCGTATCAGTCTTTTATGTAGATAACATGAAAAAAAAAACAGTTTATGCAAACATTAAAGTCATAAATAATTTAAAGGTCTCATTGAAGAACAAGAAATCAAGATCACCCTATCAACTGACACAACCAACAATAAAGCTGCTAGACTATTTAATTGTGTAACAAAAACCGAATTGCAAGCATTTACGGTGTTATCCACGTAGTTGCTAAATTAATATGGGAGCGTATGGGAGGATCTACTACAAGGATTGTTTGCGGTTATACAGTTCATCAAATTTCTAGAGGTGTTCGACGCCCAGACAGAGAACGCGCTACGTGTGACTAAGATAGCTATTGTACAGTCTGCTAAACAAGTTATTTTAAATAGTTTTTAATATTTTTAGGTAATTAAATTTTAAAAGTGTGGAATAGTTTAGGGATTAAATTGGTCTGATTGGACTTTCTTAGAACGTTTTTAAAAGCAGCTAAAGATAGTATGTAGAATTGAAAATAATTATTATGCCATAAAAGGTGTTTTGGAATTCCTTAAACCTTTTGAAATTGAGTCAGAAAATATAAATTTTATAGGATAGCGGAAAATACCTATAATTTTTTTGTAGGCCTTTGTAAATCGTGGAAATAGTTTATATTTTATTTCTACCTTATTAAGGAAAATGGTACCTATTATTAATAACGGTTGTTTCTGAAACATTACTAAAATTTTCGAAATTTTGTTTTTCTACAAAATAAACTATACTATTTAGAAAAAAATTTATTTCTCTTATAATTTTATAAAAAATAACAGGGGAATATTTACATTTCTTGATATATTAAACAAAACGATAAATTATCTCGACGAATGACACCATGTTCTAGTACGGAAGCTAGCTTTACATTTTTGTTGGTGGTTTCATGGGTTTCATATCAATTTTTTGTAATTGTAGTTTACACGTACATATACACTTGTTTGCTTTATTAAAAAAGTGTGTTGTTGTGATTTACGTCGAAATAAGTCAAAAACAACTTGAAACCCCATAAAAAATCAAAAAGGAGAAACGGAAAAAAATTGAGCCTGTAAATGAACACAACTCAGAAACAAAAATAGCTATCTAATAATAAAAAAATAAAATTTGATTCTTGTGCAGCTTCATCTATATCATTAACTGTTTTTGGTTTTTTAATGGTTTTTCTTGGTGATGAAAATTCCGATATCTCACGGTTATCGATTCATTTTTTCTCTCCAGAAATGCGGACGACAGTGTTTTTAGATACTGCTGTGGCTGCAGCAACACGATCATTTACATTTTTAAATGGTATTGAAGGTGAATTAAAGTTTCCTTCTCTTCTCATAAAGTCTATAACATTGGCTATTATTTCGCGACATTGACTGTTAATCACGCGGCCTCTTAATTTGCTATTAAACTCCATACTTAGATTCTATTAAACTGTAATGAGCAAAAAACACAAACGAAAATAAAAGAAATGTTTTAGCGAAATTTACATCTGACATTTACGTCTGAATGAAATAGTGAAATACTTGATGCGCAGAGTGTACTTTCATTGCGTAAATCCATCGGGATGCCTGTCAGTAGTGCTTTCTCTGTCTAGCCGTCCAAAGCCTCTAGAAATTTGATGAACTGTAATTCGGAATTGACTTAACATAAGGCTCTAAAACGCACAAAAGTCTGTTGTTGGACTCTTGGACATAACACACTCATAAAGGTTAAAAGTAATGAAAATGTACTTACTTAACGAGGAACTACCAGATTTACCATCGCTCTTATTCAAATCTTTTTCAGACTCTTCTTTCTCACTACCGGCCGCCATCAAAGTAGTGTTATTCTCGCTTTCGGATTCGTTAGGCGAAAAATATAACAGCCTCTCGTTCGCAGGCAATGTTTCTTCACTTGGCAACGTTATGGGTTTCCTGTTGGGATTCTGTTGAGGATGCAAACTCTGATTACCGGTCACTTCCGTCCTTACGCTAAGTCTCTCGAAAGCACTTAGTGGATTGCGAGGTTTCTTGAAGGCTATTTTGTTTTTGAAAGTGGACGTGAATAGTTTGGCTTCCATTTTTTCTAGCTCGCTATCGGAACTGTTCTCGAACATGCCGGCTGGTAGATTGTTGTAGAGTGGTAGTTCAGATAGCGGTTGTATCCGTGGGGGCGGTAAGGGAGGTACCTAAAAGCATTCATGTATACTGAAATGGAAACGAACTCCTTGGGGACGCTACTAACCGGGAGATAATCTTATTTGGGTCAGGATCATGTAGTTTAAATATATGATTTAACGATGGAAAAATTGAAAGGTTTGTTTATGTTATTTGAATTAGCTTGTTCGATCTGATTTTATGTTTTGTATTCAATATAAATCTCCAATCAAAAGTAACGTTGTATTTGTTATTTATTGAAATAATCCATTAAAAGTGCCCAGGAGACGTAAGAGTATTCCAAGGAGGCCGAGCGGTATAAGAAAGACTAGGAGAGGTACAGGAAACTGTTCGGGAAGCTCAGGAGGTGGCAACATTAAAAACATCGAGAAGTCAGAAAAGGCAGAGAAAAAAGAACAACAATTGATGTCTAGAGTCTAAATTAAAATTGTACCGCTCATAGAACCCGACCCGAAGGAGATTATTCTTGGTGAGGAGCGTCTGGTTGAACAGAGTTTTCATATCAATACATTGTGTCCGAAATTCTAGTCGCTATAAATATTGGTGTCTCGCTAATAGAAGTTCAGTTAATGTTTTAGAGAATTCGATACTGATCTCGGATACGTTTTCAGAATTTTTAAAGTAATGGAGTTTTAGAGTTATTTAAAAAAACAAAAGAATTGTCGATTTTGTTTTTTGCAGCTTAACCGTTCATTTGACATACTCCAAATTGTTATATTTGTAGAAAAAACTTCCAAATTTCGAATGACCTACTTAACTTTGTTATTTCTTATGGCGGCCATATTATTTTTTAATCCATTTGCAATATGCTATCGAAATTTTTTAACCCTAATATAAACTAATATTTTTCTTAATTTGGCAACACTGCATCCATCTAAAACAGTACGTGATATTAGTTTAATATAGAATATGTTTTTACTCTAAGTATTTTAATAAAAATAAAATGCACACAAATCTGTAAATAATAACTATATATGTAACCAGTTATGAAATTCCTTATTTTTAGTCACGAATCTTCGCGGAACGAGCAGAGCGAGGTCCCGCAAAATGAACGGGTTAAACAAAAGGCATTTCATAACGGTATTACATTCAATTTTTTTTTTATTTTGACTAGATTATTGATAAAATTGTGTTTGGTAAAAAATACTAACATCTATCCAACCAATATTACTTTCATGCATTGTTAGTTGAATAACTTCCTTCATTTCATCGGCGTATTTAGAAAAATATAAAATCATATAATTTATTCTCAAACACTTGTTGTGGGGTGTTTATCTTGTGTTAAAGTTATTTAGTTTTCAAGAAAGTATTTTATTTTTCGTATAGTGTGTTTTGATTATTTTGTGCAGATTTAGAATGAGAAATAAGGACCAAAACAAAAGTATTACTAGATTGTAAGTTTTCTAACAAAATTTATTTTTATAAAGCCAACCTTTCTTCCTTCGATATAAACCTTTAATAACAATGTATATATAGACTTTAAAATCAAAAAAGGTTAATTTTTTCTTTTCTTCTCGCAATTGGTGACATAATGAAGTTTTGTAACCAGCCAGGTTATTCAAATTTATGTAAATGGTTACATAAAGTAGATAATTTTGACATCTACTGCGATTACAAAAAATGTCACTTTATAAGTCATAATTACTATGTTACTATTAACCTAAATTAAAAAATGTGGTTTTTAACTTTAAAACACTTATCATCTTTTACAATTAAATTTTAAATATTGGAGCAAATACGAACATTTAAACTTAAAACTTTTGCATAAATCTTTAATATTGCCAATCTCATATAATATTGTTACGCTGTTTTTTTGGAACTCAATTTATTTCAACTCAACTTTTAGAATTCAACTATATAACTGATAACATGTACGTACAATGTCTATCAAAAAAACTAAAACTCTGACATCAGTATTGTCGACTTATATATAGCTTGCTTCAACCTTCTAGAACCTTCCAGATGTTTCTTGACAGGGAATGACATTTCTGGACATTTATAGACGTTTCTATCTTCTTTTACTCGTACTTTTACCTATGATGTCCGCAGCACACTAGGGTGATGGGTGACATTAAACTTCTTTTTTTATTCGTACGTAGGCCACTGCAGAGTGTAGGGAAACATTACTCCCTCTTATCTAATTATTCGTCCCGAATGACTTGATTACTGGAACCTGGTTGGAGCTAACGGGGAAAATCTAGACCATGGTATGGCGCTAACTTTGCAATATGAACTACCTTGAGTTTACTTCCTGCTGACAATTGAATTAGGTAGATCAGGTCATTGATTTTCTCGAGGACGCTGTAGGAGCCTTCCCAGTTGCTTTTACAGTTTCTCAGTCTTTTTTGGCGCTTGGGATTGTTCAGGTATACTGGGTCATCTCTCTCAAAATGTGACCCTGTGGCATGTATGTCGATTGTTTTGAGCCCTTTCCTGCCATTGCATAGATTACATTTCTTACATCAATCTTCTACATCCCTTCGGCAATTGACCCAGTAAAATATTTCCCGAACTCGTTCCAGTGTCGTTTTAGCACCGAAATGTCCTCCTGAACGGCTGTTATGAAGGTATTTCAACGCACTTCTGACATGTGATTTCGGCAGTACCACTTGGACATCGATACTCTCCCACTTCCAGTGCAATACGCCATCGTTAAGATATAGAGAATCCCACTGAATCCAGTACCCTTTAATACTTCCACTATATCTGGATATATCTTGTCAAGTAGGTCTGGCTCCATTTTTGAGTCATTCTCGGATAACCTTGAAGTCATTGTCTTTCATTTGAGTCTTTCTCAGGCTTTTAAGGGTGATTCCGTCTTCGTCATTTTCTACCTTGATGGTGGTCGCCTAAAGACTAACTTCTTCAACCGGTTTCTCTCGTTCTTTGAGCCTTTTACAGTACCGGCATTGTCATTCTAAACAGGGTCTCCTCGAAAGAGTGTCTGCGTTGCTATGGAGACGGCCTCGTCGATGGACTATCTTAAAGTTATATTTTTGCAGTCTTTCTATCAACATAGCAACTAGTCCTTAAGATTTTTTTAAATTCATCAGCCACTGCAAGGCGCTATGGTAACTTTTAATGATAAAACTTCTGTTAAAAAGGTATGGAAGGCCTTTGACAATAGCTAAAAGTTTTTTCCCAGTGACTCAATCATTCTCAGATGCAATTACTTTCTCTTCCCCCTCCTGTTCTTGGGATAGCACGCTACCCACGTCGTGTTGAAATGCGTCACAGTCGAAAATTAATTGTCCTTTTTCTCGAGGGTAGGCTAGGATGGGTGCTGTGATCAATCGTTTTTTCAACTCAGTGAAGGCATTTTGGCAATCCGGCGTCCTGTCAAATAGACTACTGTTTTTAGTTAGTCGATGACGGGGTTTAGCAATTCGGCCAAAGTCTTTGGCGAATTTTCGGTAATATGGAAAACTTCTGATTTCTCTTATACCTCTTCGTTTAAGACAATCTCTGATAGTGGCAATTTTCTCTGGGTCAGTTTTGATTCCTTTTGCGGAAACGATGTGTCCTAAATAATAAGCTTCCGTTTGGAATAGTGAACATTTATTCTGATTAAGCTTTAGATTGGCATTTCTTAATCTGTTAAACACTTCCCTCAAATATTAGGTCTTTTTCTTTGTATCGAAAGTGTAGCACTGAAAATATCCATTTATACAAATTGTAAACTCAATTAGCCAAATTCAGCTATTTATATAAAAATTCAGCTATTTATATAAAAATTCAGCTATTTATATAAAAATTCAGTTCACTACACAGTTCTAGAAGAATTCCAAGCGCTCTCGAATGTAATAGATGAGATCTGGTAACACTTCCAGCTTCACACTCTTCGAAGACCGTCCGTCCGTCATTTACGTATCAAAAAGGGGTTTCGGAGGTGACTTGCTATATTAAATATTCTTGGTAACGGGAAAAGTTAAGGCCTAAATAAAGCAGAGAGACTTGAGAGATTATAGCATGACCGTACTGAGATATGTAATATTAAAACAAATTAATTTCGTGTATCACAACTTTAGATGGAACCGCTGTTGCCAAATTAGGAAAAATATTAGTTTTTTAATAATTTAAGTTAAAAAATTGAATAGCATGTGGTACATCGAAAGGTAATATAAATAGTTTTAATATTATATGAAAATCCAAATTGGTATAAAAAAAAAGTAAAAACCCAAAAAAAGACCATTTGTATTTTTTTTTTTTTATACAAGTGTCTTAAGAATGTAGTAATTTGGAGAAAATCTCAAATTAACTATTAGGTCGCAAAAAAACCAATATTAAGCTAGTAGAAGCAAGTGGTGGCAAAAGTTTTAAAATACAAGTAGATTCTATATGGATGAAAATACATAATAAAAATTATGAAAAAAGTTTTAAGGAAAATTCAAATACGATCAAAACCACGCTTTTTCGATTTTATTCTGTTTATTTTTTTCGATTTTAAGATTTCAAACATTGTCAGAAATCGTTGGGGTTTTATCGATATTCTATCGCAAGGAAATATTTCAACCTTGTCGCAAACCCTCCAAGAGGTTGAAAATTGACTTTTAATTAATTTATTCCGCACTTTGAACACGACCCAATTCCCCAAACTGTCAAAAACAACCCTATTTAGAAGTGTCCGTAAAGGAAGGTTGGATTGTATATTGATATCGATTAGGCAGTATGAATATTATTAATTTTATTATTACTTATTATTGATGAACATGTATTTGATATGAATAATTATTAGGATATCTTATTTATTTAATTTAATAATATTTTATAATTGACCAACTATCATACATCCATATCATTAATTGTACGAATTACCTTCATTTAATTTTGTTTTGCTCCGGCTATGACTCTTATTATTATTTTCCCAGAGTCTTGAATTCAGGCGTAACAATATTTTAAAATTTAAATTTTCCTTTATGAATTAGATGATTATAATGATTATAAAATCCCGATTATTAATAAAATATTCCTTCTTACAAAAATTAACTTCGTCTATTTTCAATTTGCTTAA